AGCGAAGAGGCCCTGGCTGCAGGGCCTCACATGCCAGAGGTCACTTGCAAGCCAGAACTGGAGACATCACCGTTTTTTAACAGGCCAAAGCAATTCCTTGGATCCAGGCTCTGAATGGTGGAAAACAAAAGTCCAGCTCTGCCTGCTGCACAGTGTCAGCAAATGCAGAACTGAGCTACAGCACTAAGCCCGTCTTCCCAAACAACACTCAAAAGGCGGGAGATGAATTGGAACCTGCACTCCTTACATCTTACTAACAGGGCATCCTCAGATGTCCCGTGAGCCCACATGACAGCTACTTAAAAGTTTCCTCTCTCATGGGGAGCATAGAAATGAGGTTATCCATATACTCTGTAGTCAAAGCCACAGCATGATCATCTCTCCCCTTTCCCAGATTTCTGAGCATTTGAGGAAGGGATGTAACTCTGTGTGCCTCCATGTTATTTCCCCCCATTCAACTCTAATTGCCGGCAATGCTTCCAGTTGGACAAAACAAGAGCCATCTCCTGTGAAATGCCCCACAGAGAAACGGCTTGCTCAAAACTAGCTGTGATCTTGAGTAAGAAGCTGGAGAAGGTTTATCTTCAGGCAAGGTACCTTTTCCTCCCAAAGGGCTGCATTTTCTCAGGGGAAATCTGTCAGGGCTCACATGCCAGATATGGGAAGGCCTAAGCCACTCCATGATGTCTGTTTCTTTCTCACACACACTTCCCTTCAACCCAGCCATACAGTCCATCGCTTCCTCTGTTCTTTACTCTGGTGCCTTCCTCCTTTCTACCCTCAACAGCTAGGCTTAAAAAACACCCTTTCCAAATCTTTATATTGATCTAATGTGACATACTGAAAATGGGCCACATCTGCCTTGCCAAATTTTTGCTTTGAGACTAACGTACCCCTGAAGGTGGCTGTAAAGGTAACATGTACTCCTTATCTTGTGCAATTTTATTTTATGCTATAGCTTGAAATTTTGTTCTCTGAACCAACCTTCAGGTATCAGGTGGTATAGAAATGTATCCAATCAATTAAATAAAAATAACAATAGCTTAACCTGGGGCAGTTGTTGCCTTTACAGTCCGCCCCTTCCTGCAACAGCAGCACATGAGAAGGAGGCTGAGGGAGGGAGCAGTGGAGCAGCCCCTTCGAGCACAGATGCTGTCTTCAGCTCAAAGCTTGCCAAGCAGAATGGAGGGAAAATAACTGGCATTTTCCTCCAGGATAAAGAAAGCACCAGAACCTGTCCCAGATGCCACCATCACTGTTTGCACTGAACAAGACAGGCATCTGCAACAACACACAATTATTTGTGCCAGAGCTGCACCACACTCCACCCTGAACTGCCCCCTGCAGAGCCAAGGACACTTAGCCACGCTCTTCTGTTGCAAGGATTGCTTTCAGAAGCAGGCCTTGCAAGCTCTTTCTTCCCAGGTCTTATTATTCCCCCTCTGTGCCACGAAGCTTGTGTAAAGCCCACCCAAATCCACCTCTACCTGTCTGGGTAGCTCAGAGATGTGCTTGCGGTGAACTTCGAGACATAAATTGCCTACTGTGGGTCCCTGCAAGTGAGTTATATTAATAGCTTGCAAAACCTTATGCCTGGCCCATGCGCAAACTCTATTAGCTAGGCTGATTCCCCTCAGGCGGCAGCAGGCAATGCTTTCCTGTGCTTGCAGGATAAACTGGAAGAAATAACTGCATCGCAATTTCGACTAAAGTTCATCACAGGTTTGAGTCTCCTTTATTTCCCAGTAATTCCCCCTGCTCTTTCAACTTTGATGGAGCATGAAGTGACCCTTAAGTGCTTTGGATGCTGGATACACTCTGAGCTTTTCAAAAACATCAGCCTCCAATCCTACCTTTGTGCACATTGTTCTCAACACAAGCACCCTGGACATTAAAATATTGGGCCTGGGAGGTGAGGGAGAAACCAGAGCCCACCTAGGGTTGGGGTTCGCTGTTGCTGACCACTCGCTGTGCCTTCTAATTTGGCGTAGGACATGGAACCTAAGTCTACAATCACATACATCGGGGGTGCACAGACAGACTTTTAGGAGCTGCTTCATGTTTTGCTAGGAGCCTGTGATCCATCAGTCAGATCCATGGTTCAGGCAAGGGGACTTGCACCAAGAATTTGGGAACAAGTTGCCTCTGAACACATGCTCAGTACAGGCATTTGTGATCAGCACCACAGCCAACCTGGCAAGCACTTCCATACAAAATCCCCTCTGGATTTCAGACAAGGTTCTTTCTTCGTGAACTAATTTAAGGGAGATGGGGGGAGAGTTTTTTAGCTTGTGGCATTGTTAGACAATTGGGAGTTGGAAATCTTTGCTCATGAATTGCACGTTGCTCAGGGATCTGCAGAGAGCCTATCTTCCTCCTGGTTACTCTTGCTATGCACGTGTACCTAGGAAGGAATCCTATTGAACTGAATGGGACTTACTTCTGAGCAGAGCCATAAAGGACTGCAGGGTAAAACTCCCTTGTTGGAGTTCGCAGATATCTGCTTCCATCCATGTACAGGCTGTCCTTTCCTGCCCAATAAATTGTTTATATGAAGGCCACAGAGACAAGATTCCTGGGAAGGCATAAGCTGTAGTACCTCCCTCCTTTTTAAAAGGTATTTATTTATTTAAAGATTTATAACCTGACCCAAGCAGAGCCAACAAAACATCTTCCCAGCAGATGGTGCACAGAACTGGTATGTGTTGAAAACATAATCGCTGCACACAGAAGCACATGCTGCTCTGACTTCAAGAAAGGATACCTGGGAATACCATGCCCATCACAGAATTAGAGAGTCGGCAGCTTCAGACAAATGGCTCTTCCTGCTGACACGAAGCCATTTATAAACACAGCCTTGCTGGGGAACTACCACAGGTGATGTGTGAAAGGTTTCACAGTATGGGAACATCCTATGGAAATTCCTCATGCGACATCAGAAATAAGCTACAAGTAGCGGCACATCTTCCCTTTGTCTGCTCTTCAGAATAGCGGGGAGAAAGGCGTGGGAAAGGATGCAACTGCGGGATTACCTTTCAGACGTGATGAGGTAGCAGTGACCACTGCAATACCCCTCTCGCTTTGCCAGTTGTTGCAGGAAATGACTGGCTTCTTTTGATGAAAAGCTAACTAAACTGAAGGGCATCGGTAGCTGAGGCTGCAATTCTCTGTACACTTTCTTAGGAGAAAGTCTCTCTGAAATCTGTGGAAACAGTGTCTGAGGAAACAAGACTCCAAACAGTACTACCCAGATACCATTCCTGCTGGCTACACACACACCCGCATGGCACATGCACACTGAATCTCTCAAACTGGTTTGCTAGGCATATTCTCAAATGCATTTTGCAGAGTTTGGCTAGGAAAGGAGATATTATAGTGGGCGAGGGTGGCCTTCCAGGTCTTTTGGCTCACAAGTCCCAGCATCCTTCATCCCAGCTAGGTCTTATAGGAGTTGTGGGCCAACACATTCAGAAAGCCACAAGTTGCCCACTCCTGCAAAAGAACAACAGTAAGAAAGGTATTTCAGTGAAGATGGACCATATTGCAATAGGAAGGTTGTTGTTTTGCATCACTCAGTCCGAAGCCCAGTCTGATAAGCATCTGGGTTAGGGAAGGTTTCTCCATGAAACACTGGAAGGCCCCAGCCAGTGAGAACCCACAGCTCAGTGGCACTGCACATCCTTGACCTGCAGAAGGCCCCAGGATGGGTCAAATGCCTGTCACCTGCAATTCAAGGGGATCTTAAATACCAGGCCTAAGGCCACCTCCCTCGGAGGCTTGAACAGCTGCTTCCAATCCAAGCAAAGCAGCCTTCCCCCACCTAGTGCCTTCCCTATATGCTGGACTGCAACTCCCATCATTCCCAGTGAATAAGCAGAGCTCTAGTCTTGCACATCTGGAGGGTACCCAGGCAGGGGAAAGTTGGCACAGGCATGACAGGGCTACACAAACCGATGCCCTCACTTGCTTTAAGGCAGCTTCACACGTTCTGAGACTTCGGAACAACATGGGGCTAGATGAACATGTGCGCTGGCTCAAGTGGATCTCAAGTGGATCTCACATAGTTTTACTCAGGCTAACAGCACAGTGGAGGTGTTAGAGGAAGTCCTGGCTGCTATTTCCCCAGTGTTAACAACAGGCTGGCTGTTTATCTGAGGGCCAAGGAAAACTAATTCTACAGCAAGCTGAAGCCTGGGACAGATGTGATTGGAGTAGCCCTTTCCCAGACTCCATTCCCTCTCCCCTCCGCCCAGTTCCTCTTCAAGCTGTCGATGAGCAAAATTCCCAGCATCCCACAACTGCCATCCCATGCCCCTCTCCTCCAAGCATCGTTCACTCCAGTGTCATCTAACAGGTGCAGGAACTGGAACAAAGGTTGTACAGAACAGGTACAGTCCTCTCTTCCAGTCACTGCTCGCCACTTCCCCTCACCTCTGAGCTCAGCAGGCGTTTGCCACATTTGCAACCCTTGCAATGTTTGGAGGCGTAAGATTCTCAGAAAGCTGGACTCGGTCGAGGTTCTGCATTAACAATACATTTGGAGAACTATCTTATGCGGAAAAGAAAAAGAGTTGTAGGACAGAAAAAAAAGTCCTACAACTCCCAACCTTCACTAGGCAGCATGGTAAGCTGGACACTGTAGGATACTTTTCTGTCTAGGCATGCAGAGGATTGTCCTCTTCAGTGCTAAGTTTCATCAGGTGTTTACACGGAATACAAACAGATATTGCATATCGACTTTCCTCGCAGCTGGTGCATCCAAAATTGCTTTAGGGAAAAGACTCGCTATGGCACCGATGGTAAAGTGGGTGATGACCCCAGAAAATCTTTCCTTATTCCCCCAAAAGGAACACCATTTGCCATCCCCCACTGGCCACATTACAGCCTACAGCTCTCCTCCTCCCCTCAACTCAGCACGCTTGTTCCCAAGGAGCAAGTTGTCACTTGGCCCCCTTCCACCTCAGCTTGACTGGCTGAAAGAACCAGGACAGTTTACTTACCGTGACCGTCTTTATTCGTCCCAGTTGCCTAGTGCAGCTCCAGCCTGAACGATTTATTAACAACGTGCAGAGTTCCCCATCATCACAGGGCTCCATCCCGCACCACTGCTTGTTGACAATGATCTGGGCTGCCAGACGCAGCCGTGGACATGAAGGAGGAAGGGAATCGTTGGGGGAGAGAAGCAAAACACACAAAGAGGGGGAGACAAAAATTAGGTGCATATGTAACGAAGAATACTCAAATAAAGCACCAGACACAAAGGAGCCTTCCCAGGCAGGTGCCCTCCAGATGCATTTGACTACAGATTCCATCATTCCCAGCCATGGCTGGGAAGATGGGAGTTGCAGCTGAATACTTCTGTAGGCCTGGCACAAGATCTTTCCAGGTGTTCATTTTATAGAGCAATAGAAGTAAATGGAGCCACAGCTCCATCCCTCCCTTCACTGCTGTTAGAAACCATGATACTAGGCTAAACTTAGTACAGGATGAAGATTGCAATCATATGCATAGTTACATGGAGTAAACCCCATGGAAGAGAGTGGGTTTCTCATATTTACTTCTGAGTAAATATGCACTGGATTGCACTGTAAAAGTATTTCTTTCATCACTGAGAAAATCTGTTCGAAAAGGAAGGGTAAGTGCACCAAGATGCAACGGAAGCAGGGGCCGAGGGGAAGAGTGGAAGTAAAAGCAGAAAGAAGGAAATGAAAAGTGCGTGCATCAAACCTATTCGGCTTTATGCTGTAGTTGCAACACCTCCAAATATCAGATTGCAGCCACCTGCAGGCCCAGAATAGCCTCACGCCACAGATACCAAACATCCACCCACAGCAGAGGACGCATACCCCCCCAACCCACGTAGCAACACAGGTAGCATGTCACTGTTGCGCCAGCTCTGCATAGCAGAGAGCAACACAAGATAACACATGCTGGCACGTCGATGCCCCAGGGAAGCTTCTCACAAGCCTGAAGGCCTCAGAGAACATTCAGTGCATTTTGCATTCAGTTTTTTTTTCTTTCTCTGTGTTTTCCCCCCTTTAAATTCAATGACTCCCCAAATGAGATTGAGCGAAGTAGCTCTGGCTCCACAAAAGTCATGCAGCCAAGAAGCTGAGGGTCAGGTTAGCACAGTGTTCAAATGCCACAGCCTGAGATTGTTTCCCAGCAGTTTTCTTTCTTCATCTAGGAGAGGTGACAGGTATTGCTGGCAATATTTGCCAGGTTTCTCTTAGTGGTGGCAAAGTGGTTCTAACCACTCTGGCTAAGACAAGTGAGGAGCAGACCAGCTCAATAGCTCCTGATTTGCTCTCTTTTGCTTCTGTTTGCTGCAAAATGTTTTGCAACTAGAATTCAGTCACAATAAAACTTCCGTATGTCTTGACTAGGCCCAAGGGCAGGGTGCCAAATCCTTGGAATAAGGACAGTGGCTATATGCTTCACTGCTTGTGTACTGGTCAAGCAGCCCTATTTTTTGCAAACTCTTTGGTTTCCCTTCCCTCATATGGTTCTGCTCTTTCTGTTAAGCTCTGACCTGTTCATTCCTAGACTGCGGAAAACATTAAAAGCTGCTTGGTGAGCTGCCTGCTTTCCTCGGATCATAGATAGCCCAGGAGAAACTCAACTGGTTTGTTGGCCTGACTTGCAAAATACAAATTCTAAAGCTATGTGAGTAACATGTAGCTTCAGAGGGGGGAAATCAGCAATCTCTGCCATTGCGGAGGCTGTGATGTGCATTGGTAGGAACCCCAGGAAACCTCAGCACTCTGCTGAACTTTGAGGCTATTTTGTTCCTTGCTGGGTCCGATCTTTGGCACAAGAGAGAAGGAAACTTGGTCTCTTACCATCTACACAGGCAGGCTTTGCTTTAGTTGTCCCCGCGACTTGGCCCCTTCTACAGGCACACCGTGCCGTCTGCCTGGCAATCATCCTCTTGGGATGGCTCATATCTCTGTCCAGTGCTGTGATTTCACAGGTACCCACTTCCAGTTCTTTTCCTGCAGTAAGACATTGGGACACATGACAGGCTGAATCTCAGCAGAACAGGACGAGTTTGTGGCCTGTTCACCAATACAAGGAGCTAGAAGAGAGGCCTCTTACATTAAAAATGCTGCCTCAGGTGGTGGTGGCCCAGAGGTCCTGCACTAGTAGGGAGAGATGCCCCTGCAGAACCACCAAATATGTTGCCTGCTTTCTGATTTGGTTTCTGGGAGACCAGGACATAGGCAAGCAAGCTCACAAAAGGCATCCTGAAAAACCAAACAAGCTTCACTCATGCATCTTTCATTAAATGATGGCAAAGTAAAATGCATGGGCATGGCACTATAACTTCATTTATTCAATTTATATGCCACCTCACTAGCCATAAGCTCTCTGGATAGCTTACAGAATAAAGCCAACCACTCCCCATAAAATAGTTGGGTGTGCTCCCTATGATAATTTTTGTACTAACAACAACAACAAATAAACCCAACTCTAGAGACCAGCTGGGAGGATAAAAAGGAAGCTGGGTCTATCTATCTATCTATCTATCTATCTATCTATCTATTTATTTATTTATAAAATTTGTATGCCGTCCAATTACTAATGTCTCTGGACGGCTAGCAGCATAAATAAATTGATGACCATTCTGGCTGCAAATTAATAAAATACAATAATTAAATTCAATACTAAAACATATTAAAATATTGATTGAATAAAAAGGTCTTAACCTGGTGCTGAAAAACATATAATGACGGCGCCAGGCAGACCTCTCTGGGGAGCGCATTCCATAGTCGGGGCGCCACCGCAGAGAAGGCCCTCCTCCAGGTACTCTGTCTCCTAACATCTTTCACAGAGGGTTCCCGGAGGAGGGCCTCTGCTGCCGATCTCAGGGGGCAGGAGGGCAAATAGGTCTGGCTGGCTGGCTACCCACCCCTCTGTTGATAGAAGGTTTCAGTATAGTATAATAAGATAGCTAAGTGTGGCAATGTCCAAAGCCATCCGACCCCATTGTCAACCACACACTTAAGCTTTGTGATACGTCACTAACTGGACCCCTTTCTTCTCTACCGCTAGTCCCACGGGGACAGATTGTTGAGGAGCTACTAGTTCCAAACTACTGCATCATATACAACTTCAGGGCTGCACTGGGGGCTGCCCCTCTGCCCCCCACTGCCACACCACCCATTTGCCAACAAAATTCCGGAGGAGCAAAATCACGTTCCTGGAAGGCTTCTGGGAGCCTGCTGAACAAAGGACACTGTCCTGGCATGCCTTGTTTTATTTATTTTTTAAATGACACTCTTTTAGTCATTGCCATGGAACATTTGGTAGCTGGGTGTGTGCCTGCAAAAAAGGCCAGGGGGTCCACATGCAGCCCACATGCTGCCCACCCCAAAATACAATAAGTGCGACATGGCAAACATCTACCTTGTTAATGCCATGCTGATCCAAGGCCCTGCTCGGGGAAGGGCTGGATTCTTTCTGTAAACGTTGTAAAGCACTGGGGTTCTCAGACTAGAGCCTGCAGCCATTCATTTGATGGCCCCACCCCCAGCCACCATAAGCACCCCTCAGTATGACTACCTCACACATGGTGCTTGCAGGTGGAGGTCTCCCAGCACTACCCATCAAAAGTACTTCAACTTGCCCCCTTAACAGGTTCCCTGTGGTAAGAAAGAAGAGAAAATAAGCCCTGGGAAAGGAGCGGAGGCCCTGGATGGAAGGAGGCATCAGCTGGAAGATGCTCCCCCTGCCCAGATACAGTTCTGTGAATGTGGCAGAACGGCTGCATGCTAAAAGGGTTGTCTAGAAGCACCTGCCGATTCACCACTTGTGCAACAGACTTGGAAGACCCTTTCCATGAAACTTGCTTGTCCTCGCCGCTTATCCACCTGGGCCTGTCGAGTGGAGGGCGAACGGGTGTGCACGGATTCTTTGGCTTCCCTCTCCCGCTGCACTCTCGGTCCTGCCATCAGCTGTTATCCAGAGAAAAGCACAGGGAGCTCCCAAGGAAGACTGGATTGATTCCCAGCTGGACAAGGACCGTCCATCCAGCTGGGCTGCTAATCTGCCTCTGCTTATTTCTTCTTTTCCCTGAATTTGCTTTAATTCTTTGCTTTGTCTGGCTGTCCTACTGTGGCATATAAAATATTCTGGATACAGATCCCCCCTTTAAAATAATAATAATATGGTCCCTTTAAATACGTTTATCCATTTCCCTGCTTCCTCTATTAGATGGGTAACAACAGTTTCTCATTTCCTCACATCTTCTCCAATGGCATTCATGTGATGAAACCATACAAAATCACTGGGATTTATACAGACACATGCGGCAGCCTTTTCATATTTATTTGGTCTGTAATATATACATTCAATCTCCAGTGCTCTCTCTCTGCAGGAGAAAGTTATTTGTTATCTGAATAAGTAGATGTGAGAAGCTAAGACGTTTCTATTAGAACTGCATTTGCTGGGTATGATTTACCTCGCTGCCTGCTCTTTTGTAACTTTTCATGCTTGTGGAGACTGGGGACCTGATCCTTTGTGATTGTTCAGTGCCACAGATGCCATGTGCGCATACACTCATCATAACTTAGCTTGACAAATTTGCATGCTGGCATTGGTGTTCTCTAGCATCACTAGAGATGTGTGAATGTTGTTCAACCCATTCCAGCTGGGTTTCATGCATTGCTAATGTCTTTCATTCCATCAGCCACTTATTAATGGAATCTTTTTTTAAACCAGAATTTTATTCTGCTTGCACATTTGTGCTAGTGCTCATTGTTCTAATGTAAAAGAGCATAAAATCCTCTCCCATCCCAAAGTGAAAAGCAGTTTGCAAGTCCACAGAACCTCTACAACTCAGAAAAAGCTGGTCCACTGCAGAATCTGCAGCTCAGATCCAAAGAAACTGGAACTCATCTGAATCCCTGTTGAATTTTTCAGACATCCCTTTCAATTTACTCATGTGGGGAGGTTTCTGTGACCCAACATGGCCAAGAGAAACGACCAGCCACAGGCGATTTGCTCCCTGAGGCAAAGAATAAGATGACCCTTCTCTGTTCCACACACAGGAAGCGTGGCCACATGACAACTGAACCTTGCCTCAACATGCCCAGTGGGCCAGCAGACTTGCGTGAGACAGCAGGCTAGCCTAGGGGACTCAGACTCAGCAGACGACGTGGCACTCGCGGCTCTGCTGCAAGCCCCTGCTGCCCGAGGCGGCCCGGTCACCTGCAGGGAGGCCGTTTCACACAGCGGCTGCACGCGGGCCACGAGCACTGAGATCATCCCTGCTGCGGCCATGGCCTGGTCATTGCAGCAAACCCGGGCACAGGCCCCAGCATGGTTAGAGTGGCTCACGACTCTCACACTCAGCAAGGTGAGTGCAGGAGACCCTGGCATAGCCACAGCAACCAGGACTGCCCGTGAATGACAAAGTTGTTGCTCTCAGAAGCAGCAGATGCGATGGGCAAGCAAGAGTGTCTGGATGGGGCTGCTTTTACATGTGACTGCTCTCTGTGGGTCAGAGTTGTGGGCCATAATGTAACTCAGCCTTCCTCAACCTAATGCCCCCCAACCGAATGTCCTTTCCTGAATCTGTAGTGTGTTGGATTACAATGACCATTGACCATGCTGGCTTGGGCTGATTAAAGCTGAAGTCCGAAACATCTGGAAGGCACAAGGTTGGTGCCTCGGTACTGAACTGTTCCTATCCCCAGGGCCTTACAGTTTTTCTCATGATGTGTCCTGGAGCAGTCTGGAAACGGCTGGTGTAGTCTGCATCATGTCGTCCCCAGTAAATGGTTGCTTTCTTAATGATGGTAGTTCTCCAGAAGAGGTTGAGGGAAAATGCCACACAGAACAAGGACGGACTAGTTTACGGTTTAGATACCATCATCACTGGACTTGCTTCAGTGGCTAACTTGCCAGCGTTCCTACAATGTCCATGTGGACATTGCAAGGAACAGTGCTGCACTCAAGAATGGTGCTTGAAGTGGTAAGCAGGACCATTGTCCTGGGAGCAAATTTACATGTGATTCAGCATCCCAAGGTCTAGACGTGACCTGCAGACAGGTAGCTGAACCTTGCCTGTTCAAGCAGCTCATTTGTCCCTGCTGTGTATTACAACCAGGCTAAAGATCAGTGCAGAAACCAGCCAGAGATGGGGAAAAATCAAAATGAAAAACTGAAACATCAGTCTGAGATATATTGATTTGAAAGAAAAGTGGGAAACACTTCAGCTACTTTAACTGTCTGAACAAAGAGGTGATTAAAACACATTAAGGGATAGCTGCCATGTTCTGTGATCTCAAAAATATGCCCTTAAGTATAGAAAGGCAATTATATTCTATGTCACTGATTGCAGGAGTAGAAACAGATGATACCATTTATTTCAGGCTTAGTCTTTCTGGAATAAAAATGGTTGGTCTTCCAACACCTTGTTTGGTGTTTTCCTAGTTTTCTGATTTTCCTAGTTTCCTAGTTACACTAAGTGCTGAATGAATGCACTTAACATGATAGTTTCTCCCACCCGCTTCTGTCCCAAATCTCAGTAGAAACCAATACTAGGTGATTATCTGTACCTACCAGGACTCATCCATTGCATTCCACTCTACATTATTCCTTGTCTTCAGATGCAATCAGGGGACCCAAAGGCTCTCAAAATGATCAAGAGCAACATTCTGTCCAAAGGCAAGGCAAGGTTTGAGGCATCATCCATCAGCCATGCTACACACAAGCCCACCAAAAGATGGGCAGAAGACAGATCAGGATATCGTGGGATGATTTGTAGTGAATTGGCAAAGGTTTATGGCTTCCAGTTGTTTAACAATAGCAACAAAGTAAAAGATGCCACACTCCTATTAGAATTTCTGATCTGTTCTATCTCAGGCGGAGTCATGTGCCTATATGAAGTCATCCTGATGGATACTTCATGGAGTGGTGTAGGTCTCCCCAGGCCTCCATGTTCAGGCAGGTCCACCTCCCGAGTCCCTGGCTCTGGCTGATGGACACCTCAGGGAGTGTTCTTGTAACAAAACAGAAAAACAGATCCCACAAAACTGACATTTGCTCACAAAATGCTTCATGGAAGCACAACTTGGATAGCGCCAACCATAATTTGGTATTAATTTGGGATAGGGGTTCAGGGCCAGAAGGTGCCTGGATCCCATGTCATACTAGCTACGAGTCATTAACAGCCACAATCCTAGACATGTCTACTCAAATCTCTCACTGAGTTCAATGAGGCTCATTCCCAGGTAAGTAAACATGGAATTGCATTCTGTGTGGACCCTGGGGGAATTGTCTCTCAGTGTCAGTCTTGCGTTTGCAGTATGGAGGTAACAACACTGGCCTACTTTATAAAGGAAAGGAAGGCGGGAAATTAGGGGGCAAGCACTCCTTTAGCTCCATCCTCTTTCTGCTTTGTAATAGCCTTCTCTCGTGTGTGTTTTATTAAGTGCCATCTCTGTCTGTTGACATTCTCTACCTATTAGCAAAATCAACAGTTAGCACTTTTATATCTTTTTGCAGCTGCAGAATTTGCCATTTATATGGACTGCATTCCCTCTCCACCCTGCTGTCTAGGCATTTTGGACTACAACTCCCAGCATTCCTGATCACTGATTCTGTTGGCTGGAGCTGATGGGAACTGAAGTCTAAAACATTTGGAGGGCACCAAGTTAGGAAAAGCTGATATCGTCTTAATTAGCCCTCACACACCTTCTCTGAAGCAGGCATAAGGCATAACTTCCTTGGGAAAGAATGGCAAGCCAAAATATGCAAATTTAGCCTTGAGTTTACTGATTTATTGGAATCACCCCTATACAGACAGATGATCATACAGAAGGTCCAGCAGCACACGGGGGCACCCTTTCTGGATTCGCTCAAAGAACGAGGCTTTCAGCAGAAGCTTTATTTCATTTATTTTCATATTGAATTAACACAAAGCCCCTCTATAGTCTGTCATGTGTGACAATTCCACACTGGAATGTTCTGCTTTGGGTACACTGCTTTGCAAATGTCATTCTCACTGGATAGTAAATGAATCTGAAGTCAAGGTGCATCTTACTATGAAGGGCTACTGAAGCAGAGCTAAGCTTTTCTATAGCACATCTGACAAATGTCAGTCTCCAACTCTAGGGTTCTTTGGAAGTGGAGGTGCTCCAGATTTTAAGCCTCTTCAAAACTCCCCCACAGCATATTTTATTCAAGGCTGGAATGTATTGTATGGAAATGAACAGTCATTGCCTCGTTGATCAGAGAGAAAGGGAGGCACAAAAAGGATCAGATCGAGTTTCTACTGCACCAAAAAGTTATTTTTCAGGAGCAGGCATATTTTGAAGCTGAACAGAATTCCTGCAGAAGAGTTGCAGCGATAGCCTGCTGGAGTGTTGAGGCAGATGGTCCAGGGGCATCTTAATGGCTAAACCAGTTTGTATTTGATCAAATCTAAAAGGCTAAACAAAAAGAACTAGTTAGTCATGAAGATGCCGCACATTCTGTCTTTTTACAACACCATATTGCCCTGAGATCTGCGTTACTCAAAAGACTGTCTATAAGCAGGTGTTTTCCTTGCCCTAAAGGTGCAGCAATGGACTGTGAACAATTCCTGCCTCATCTGCTCCTGAACTGCTCAGTGAGCTCTTCTGGACAGCACACAACTGTCATCCCAACCCGCAACACACCTGGAATTCTCACTGCAAATGTGGCAGTTTCTTGACGCTTTCATGCTGGACGCAGCACTGAACCCATTACTCCTGGCTGCCAGGCTACAGCTGCATCCTCTGAATTATTGCATAAATGTTTAGCCACAGTTGCTAATTGTGACATTATTTATGGATCCTCATGGATCTGCAAGTGCCCCTCACATCCTCGTTTGCAAGAGGCCCTGCCTGGGGAGCTCTGCGTGGAACATTTACGCTGACGGTGCTTTTTATGCTTCTGGGTGAGTAACCATCAGCACAAGATTTCATCTGCAGTTGCTGGGTTTGCAGAGGGGTTGCACTGTGTGAGCTGGGGGTGGGGGGAGGAAGCAGGGTGCAACCCAGGGTGACACATCAGTTATTTAACAAGGCTTGTTCCTGCTACCTTAATAGATGGGATTTTCCTGGTTATTATGAAAACAGAATAAAGACAGATGGACAGACATGAGGGTCCTCTGACAGACTGATGTCTGCCACTCCAAAAACTAGGACTCCTGGAAGCCAGCATCTGAAAGTGAGACTTTGAGTCAATGGAACTGAACCAAAGTAAAACCGGCAGACCACACTTATTCATCATGGGGCCAGAAATGTGCGGCAAGGGGTCTTTTGCCTAGAAGTGCACAATCCTTTTTACTCCATTGTGAGGCGGGGCAGCCGAAACAGTTGTCCTGAATCTCATACTGAATTTTATAACCTGACTGTCCGCAGGCCTTTACACTTCTGTAAAGAAAATCAAACCAATTGGGTTGGGAACTCCAAGAGGTGAGATACATTCTTGTTTTTATAACCTAGCCCCACAGGCCTAACTGGTAGGAGGCAATGCTTTCTTTAGGAAAGAAAGCACTCTTTTGAGGTATCAGAACCACCAGTGAGCTTTCGGTCTTCCAGGTAGCCCCAGACTTATCCCAGAGCCTACCCCGCGTCGTCTATTCTAGCCTTCCCTACAGGTGTTTTGTACTTACAACTTCCCATGTTCTTACCACTGGCTGGCACTGGCAAGAGCTGAACTCCAAAACACCCGGAGAACACCAATTTGGGCTCCCTGGGAACTCAGGCAGAAGCATTTTCCATGGCCTACTTCTTGAGCCTATCCCATGGTTTGACCCTATGAGCAGATATAGATGGTGTGAGGTCAACATCTTATTCACCAGCATTTGTCCCGAGATCACTGATTCTTACACTGTGGCTTTACATTGCACATAGACGTGTCTCTCTCTCTTTTGGCGAAGGCATAAGACAGGATACAGGCTAAGCTTGCGGATGTGTGGAGTAGCGGGTGGGGATCCAGCGAGAGAAATGGAGTCTTGAAAATGGGCAACTCCCCAAGACAAAACTAGTGTTGGAAAGCCCTCCACATTACAATATGGAGAAGGGGGGCTTACCTGGTCCTAATCTCCATATTGCATGGAGAAGCATGTCCACCTCCCATTGCATGATGGCCTGGGCAAATTTGTAAGATGTCGTCCAGTGGAACAGCTGGGCTCAGACACAGTCAATTCTCCAACTCAAGACATAAACATGGACACACCACTTTTCATTCACACCCAGCGCTATTTAAAATAAAAAGGTCCCCATTCAACCACTGGTGACCCCCCCGAGAGGATTAATCTTTCCTTCTTTGTGTGGAGACTCCTCCAGTAAAATTCACCTTGCAGGCACTAAGACTGCATTCCCCACCTTTCTGGTGGGCTGCCATTCCCATTGCCTCCTTCCAGAGTGGCCAGTAACTGAAAATGATGGAAACTGTGCTCTCAAACATCTGGAATGCCCCTGTTTGAGAGAGGACTTCATTGGAGAAGAGGGCAATTTGGCTCTGTAAAATCACACCACCTGTTAGAAACAGTTTCTGAAGGAATTCTACTTGTCTTCTACAGCAATATATAAATGTGATTGTCTAGCAGGGAATGAATAACACAGAAGCCAAGTTCTGCCTACTTCAAAGAAGATGCGAAGGAAAAGGGCTTTGGTGCAGGGAGAAGATAAATTCACAGGACAACTCTACACCTGCCTCTTCAGATATAAGTCTCACGGAGTTCAACACGACTCTCTCCAAGCACTTTCTCCAACCAGATGATTTGCAAATGTTTTGGACTACAGTTTCCATCTTTCCCAGCCAGCATGGCCACTGGCCCTCCTTTCAGGTGCCTTGTGTTCTCTCCTTTTTGCGAAAATTTCCCTTCTTTGTTCTTTTGTGTTGGATTGTTGAAGGTAGGTGGTTCTTCCTGGCAGGAACATTCATCCTCCAACCTGGTCATGGGTCATCAGAAGCTTTCTCAGATATAGAAAATGTTTTGTTTGTTTGTTAATGACAAAATATATGTTTCCTAAACCTCCTGCCAGGTGGGCTGTCACATGCAGGCTGAAGCTCACATAATTCTGTACTGAATTAGAGCTTTAAAATGTCCCATCTTCCTCTTTGGTAAATCCTGCTACCTGTGCGAAAAACCTGTAGGGAATGAAATGGTGTCCTATGCCTTTGAAATTTAAATCCTGAAAATGACCCTGAGAAGCCAGTGAAAGAAGGTCTGGGATTGGCTGAAAGTGATGTCACCAGTCACCCCCCCACACACACTTTTCCTGTATTTCATAAAAGGGGAAATTGGCTCCCTTTCAATCAAAAGATGCAAAAACAAACTTTGACTGGACCAGAATGTCACTAACCAAACGTATCCATGCTGTTTGCTAGGGCAGAAGCCATCTTTCCTCAGCCTAGTCTTTATTCTGTTTTAACTTGGTGCTGGTGGTAGCGACGGTGGCAGCAGGTTGGAAGACTCTAAGCCCTCTGCAAAAGCCCTGCTATTGCTATGCCAAAGTGTTACTTGCATTAACATGCTTTGGTTTTCTGTGTCTCTACATCCCTTAGTCAAAATATGTAGTTTTGCTTAATGTATCCAGGCATTTTGCCAGAGAGATTCTAAATACACCCTTATCACTGGTGCTTTTATACATCATATACATCAGGGGAGTAGGATAGCCTTGGACCACAAGGTGCAAAGAGTGAGAAAGAGACCCCTGAATTTATCTCTCTTTGAACCCAGGATCTGGGACCAAAGGCAGGGGTTGGGGGCTCAGGTCAGGGCTTCATGAAAAGGTCAATTTGAATGTGTTGGCTCACAGTGCATCGCCTTGGAGGTGAGTTTGTTAACAGGCCAGTTTCTGCAAGAGCACAAAGCAGATGCATGAATCTACTTACCTTCCTTGGGAGGATGAGAGTACAGCAGCCAGAAGAAGAGGAGGCAACAAAGTATAGCGCTTATTCCTGTGGACAGCTCTCTCCATCCGGCCAGCATCCTTATAGAGGTTTTTCCCAGAAGGACCACCCGCTGGGGCCACAGAGGGTGGGAGCCCCCACACCAAAATGTCCAGACTTTCTCTAGATCCGGCTACCAGGGGGGCGTCTGCCCGGCACAGGGGGGTTCCAGCTGTGGCACAGCTGCATTCCTGGGCAGAGGAGCAGAGCTGTAGGCGGCAGCATTAGGCCTTTCGGGTGGGGAGGGGTGTGCTGCTGCCACTTCACCGAGGCCCCAGTCTGGTCCTTCTCCAATCGCACCCCTCAGTGTCCAGGGTTCCCAGGAAGTCTTCTGTCTCACAGCATCCAGGCTTGGGAGAGGCGCCGTCCTCCTTACATGCTGCTGCTATCCCAAACTCCACCGCTCTCCCGAGAAGAGCAATGGGGAAGAGGGTGTCGCGCCACGACCCGATTTCCACCAGTTAATCGCTCGAAAAGTATCCCCGGGGTTGCAGCTCGGATGGGGGGTGGACTCCGCCCCTTCCTTTCGGTGCCAGGACAAGTCCCGTCCGTGCGCGATTCGGCGCTTGACTTCGTCCCGGCCTTGCCGCGCTCCCGGCGATTTAGCAGGCGGAGGTGCCGCTGCGGCGGTTACACTTCCTCCTCGCGCTTTGATGCAGTTTGCCAGGCAAAATCCTCGCCGCGACGATCCGTCCTCCAACAGCCCACCCAACTGCACGGCTCCTCGCCGCTGCCGCTGCCCAGTGCCCGGGCCTGCCCAGGGCGCCAGCAGAAGGATTCATCCTGGGCTGCACGAAGCGTTGGAGGATGGAGGCGAGAGGGGGCGAGGCGGGGAGGGCGACGGGGCTGCACGGAGCGCTCCCGGGCGCCGGGTGCGTCGCGTCTCCTCCGTGTGTGTGTGTGCGTGCGTGTGTGCGCGCGCGCCCGCCCACCCGCCCGCCCGCCGATGTGCGGGGAGGGACTGTGACTACCTGTGGCAGGCGCTTGCCAAGGCTCCGACAGGCTTCCAGCCGCCACACAGCAGCAGGATCCGCCCGGGGTGCGGGGGAGGAATCTTCGATCCAATTGCTCAGGAGCCAATGCGGGACTTGTGTTTATCAAAATATCTGCGCGTGAATGTAAAATCTGGAGAGCGCGAGACCCCACGCCTGCTCTGGCTCACACACGCCCTTTCCACGAGCCGCACAGAGCTCCCCGCCGGGACTTCCCGGCCCTCCGCAGCGGGAGAAGGTCGCACGTTCCCTGCATCGGAGGGGGGCCGGCCCCAGAGAGAGCCCCAAGGCCGCCGCCGCCGCTACTGCAGCCGCCGCCGCCGCCGCGTCCTCCTCGCGCGTGGTCTCCGGGCTGCGGAAGAAGCAGGAAAGGAGGACGGAGCGACCGAAGAGGAAGCGCCGCTGGACTCCCCGGCCAAGGCACCGTGGAGGGCGCCTCTCCAGCGCGGTGCCTCCCCGACCCGCGGCCGTGGCAGCTTGTCCCCGAGCGGGCGTGCAGCGCACGCGTCCTTCCCCTGGTCGCGCAGAGGAAAGAACCGGGGAAAGTTTCTCTCTTCCTTTTCCGCGATCGGCTCCCTTCCACCGCTGGGCGCCCCAAAGCAGCAGCGCCTGCCCGCCGCCCGCCCAGACGGAGACCACCCGCTCGGAATTCTCCTTGGCGGAGTGTCTCCCTCCGCTTAACCCCTTCCGCGCTGCACGGCCAGGAGCTGCTGCCTGCCCACCTCCTGATCAGCTCAGAGCTGCCTGCCTCTCTGCCTGCTGCCGCATTCCCTCGCGTGGCCGATTCGCTCTCGCTTGCTCTCTCTCTCTCTCCTGCCGGGCGCGGGATGCGCGCTCTTCTCTCCTCCTCCTCCTCCTCCTCCGCCCCCCTTAGCAAAGGTGAGAGCCGCAGGGCATGGGTGGGCCCATCAGGCGATGCCGCATTCCGGGCTTCTTCGCCCAGCCAGTCCCGGCCACGGAGAAGCTGGACGGAGCGAGCAAGCAACTCGCTTCGCGGTGCTGGCTGAGGTCAGGCGCCGCTTTTCCCGGCTGATTGGCTTGCTCGCGTGCGGCTCAGCCAGGCGAAAGTGCTGCGGAGATGCCCCGCAGCACAGCCACGGGAAGACCCCGCCTCGTGTTGTGGGGCAGCGGTGGCGAGCGGCCTCCGACGCGAAGAAGCCTGGCACGGAGGCAAGAAGCGGGGTCTGAGCGAGCGGTCGTGGGCTGCTGGTGCTGCCGCGCCGGGTGGAAATCCGTCTGGAGCGCCTGCTCCGAGGGCGCCGCTGTGGAGCTGGGAGGTGGAGCTGGCGAGGTCCGATCCATGGATTCTGTCCCCTCCCCCTGAGGAGCATGGCTTGGCAGCCTTTGGAGACGATCCAGCTCACTTCCCAGAATGCTGTCGGGATGCCGTCCACCCCTCCCCTCCTCCAGATCTGCCAGACTGCGACTCCCATCATCCCCAGGCAGCATACCCAAGTGCCACTCTGGGTGGACAGGGTGGGAGTGGTCTTCTGAAGGGCACCTGGTTGGTGAAGGCTGCTGGAGCCGAATGCATTCTTGAGGCATCCTGTGAGAACTGGTGGAGCCCTCGCTGTTGGCAGCAAGCGGAACAGTCAGGGCTTTCTAGCGGTCCCAGTTGCAGGCAGAGCCACCCTGCTCCGATCTGCTGTTCCACTCATTCCCTGGCCAGCTCTGCGGCAGGGCCCTGCTTCCCCTTTGGGCTTGCTTCCGTCGTTTGGACTGAGCCTGATGCGGATGGATACTGTCCGCGTGACCCATTTTGCCAGGGCTGTAGAGCATTCTGACTAGCCAATGTTGGAAAAGGAACGCCAGAGTCAATGGACCTGTGGCCTGATCCAACAAGGTAGTTTTGGAGTGACTGAGAGCGCACACACTTTCGTGATCTGCGGGTCCTGATCATCTAGGCTCATGTCTTGAAGAGAAGGGCCAATTGTTGTCCATGAGGAATCATGGGTTCAGCCTGTTCAAGGTGGGGCATCATTCTTCCCACAAGAACTAGCTCCCAGCTTGGGGTTCCTCCTGCATACGTCACCAGAGTGGCCTTGGTGGCACCAAGTGCTCTTTACCAGCTTTTACTGGTTTGCCAATTACAGTTATTCCTGGGCATGGATAATGCAGACATGGTGAACCATGATCTGGTGACCTGCTTGGAATAGGGCACTGCTTTATATATGGAGATGCCCCTGAATACAACTTGGAAGCTTCAGCTAGTGCAAAATAATCTATTGGATGAAGGAGGTTACATTTTTAAAGATATCTTGACAAAAATTACTTGACTGTACACATACAACGCTGAAGATGCATATTACAAATTGGCGTCTCTCTGCGATGTGGGCACATAACTTGGTTTTAGTTCCCTTCCCATAATTGGCATGGCACAGGCTGCCTACCCCCTGCTTTAGCCACTGCATCACACACTGGCTAGGCTTTCTTTCTCACTTAGATGATGTTCTCAGGATGCTGATTTCCTTTGGCCAGCAGCACTCATTTTTGTGCAGTTTAATGGTGGTGGCATCATGGAAGAAGACACACCACCCAGTCCATTACTTCCAGTCATCACTGCCAAAGAACACTGCCCATGGGGGCTCCACATCCCCCTACATACATGCCCACACCTCCACCAGCTCTTTCCAATTCAGTGCTGTTCTTGGGTGGAAAGGCTCTCTTCCAGAGTAGAATTAGTTCCCTTCATTCAAATGCAGGAAAAGGGGCCCCTCCCTCCCCATTGGTGGCTTCTGCTGTAATGAAAAGCCTGGGCGTTCTCTCTCAGCCCTCTCCTTTGATTTGGGGGAAATCAATACAAGTGTTCCACCACAGCAGTGCCTGTGACTGGTTTGTTAACTATGAGGGACACTGAATGAATAGCACTTGGGTGGGTAATTTACCATCAGATCTGTGGGGATAAAGGGAAACCAATATAAATAGCCAGTAATAAAACTGTTTACTGACACTGGGCGTTCTTTAAATGAGATTTGTATGCAGGGGAGTACACCTCGGATAAGCTCTCCAGCTTACAATTATTGAGTGTCTTGTCCAGTGGAGCCGGGGCTATTATTAGCACTAGAAAGCCGTGAGACTCTGTCTTCATAAAGCACCTGATCATATTAATAAGGAAGGCAACCATATCAGAGCTGAAAAGGAGCTGGAGCACAAGTCAGCATTATTAGTCCTGCTTAAAGAGTAATGGGTGAACGCTGTCAGGGCAGGCATTCTTTCGGAGGGGCGATGCACCAAGATCCATTTGCCTGCGATCGATTTTTCATCAGGAGCTAAGGAAGCCAGAACTTGGTGGGACCGGGCCCAAAATGCAGGCACTGTGCGCATGTTGCAGGGGGACATGTTGTTTGAGCCACGTAGTACACAGATACATATACCAAGAACAGTCTAAATAAATAAACAAACCTTTGTGCTTATTATGTATTTATTTATTTAAAGCATTTTTACCCTGTCCTTTGCAGGGGTCTCAGGACAGTAATACAAAGAAACAAAAAGGCAGCATACAGTAAGACATACACCTGAAAAAAACCAATATTAAAATCTTAATCAAAGCTTAGAATGCTGGGGAAATAAAACGGTTCTGACCTGGTGCCAAAATGAATGTAGCATCAGTGCCAGGCACACCTCTCTGAGGAACAGGTTCCAAAGCTGGGGTCCCACCACAGAAAAGGCCCTTCTCCAGGTAGCCACTCTTCTGATCGCCTTCAAAGAGGGCTCCTAAAGAACAACCTCCAACCCAGGTCTTAGGGGGCAGGCTGGCGTATAAGGAAGGATACACTCCTTCCGATAGCTAGCCCTAAGCCTAAATGCTTGGTGTCGATGCGTTGTTGCGCCCTTTTGGAAAATGCCCTTTCTTCTTTTATTTGGTGCCATGCTGGGTGCAAAGTATTCCTTTTCATGCTCAAACAAGATGCTCAGCCAAAGAAATGTAGCATTCATGCACTGGCACCTGTTTCCATCCCAGACAAGCCAGCTGGTCCACAATAAGGCAAGGTTCATACAAGATTGGTGGTAGAGCCTCAAGTTGTTTTGGGGCACAGCTCCCACAACC